ACAGACTGAGACTGCACAGAGCCACTCAAGGAGCGTTTGCTTAGTATTCACATGGCCTGTGGAAAAGAGCTAGTGCCTCCTCCCCTCCCAGATCCCTGATGCCTCTCTGGGCCCATTCTCTCCTGCCACCTGTCCCCTGCAGGCCTCGAACCCTCTGTGGCAATCCCGGGGCTCCACTGCTGTGTCATCAGGCGGCCGTTTCCGCTGCCCATCTTGCAGGCATGAGGTTGTCCTGGATCGACATGGAGTCTATGGCCTGCAGCGAAACCTGCTAGTGGAGAACATTATTGATATTTACAAGCAGGAATCCTCCAGGTGAGCTGGGAAGGCCTCTCCCTGCTCTCCAGGGCAGGTCTGGGACTCAGCCAAGAGACTCATCAGGATGGACAGGAGCAAAACCTGTTCTTCTTAGAAAGGAGAGAATCTGTGGCTAGCCAGCCAGGGTGGGGGAGCTGGTCAGTGCTGTGCCCTCAGCCTGTCTTCCTGGAGTGAGACCACAGGTCACCTACAGATACCTGACTTCACTGGCCCTCTAGGACTTCCAGTCAAGATGTCATGGGACATCTTTGCCTCCTAGAATCAAGACTCTCTGTCACCCCGTCCCCTCCCCTCCAGGCCACTGCACTCCAAAGCGGAGCAGCATCTCATGTGTGAGGAACATGAGGATGAAAAGATCAACATCTACTGCCTGAGCTGTGAAGTGCCCACCTGCTCTCTCTGCAAGGTCTTTGGGGCCCACAAGGACTGTGAAGTGGCACCACTGCCCACCATTTACAAACGCCAGAAGGTATCAGGCGAGGGGGTGGTGGGGGGAAAGGGGCCGGGCAAGGGAGGGGCCAGCCTCTTACTCCATTTGGTTGTAAGGTCTAGTGAATCAAGGCTGAAATACCAGCCCTACATTTGACCTTGAGATAGTTACTCAACCTTCACTTCCTCATTGGAAAAGCAGGATGAAAGTGCCTACTTCTGAGAGCTGTTATACCCATAAAACGGGATAACAGATAAAAGCAAAGGTTTCAGTATGGTGGCTTCGATATTCTCAAGGGTCTCTCAGTAACATATAACTGCTTTCTACACAAAACAGAATGTTAAAGTCAGATTGCCTGACACATGGGAAGTAATGTGGTCATTGGAGGGAATGAGGGTCAATAAATAGCCCACACCCTACCCTCAGCAACTCTGCCGCCTCTGTATCTATCTGAGCATCGCCACCACTGAGGTCAGGAGTCCACACTCCCCACTGCCCCTCATCATGTGCTTCTAACCTCTGACCTTTGTGGAGACCAGTCCTTTGGGGCCAAGGTGAAGGTCTGTGTAGGAATCAAAACATATTCAGATCTCTAGTCATTATATTCAGCAAGAACCTGTCTCAAAGAAAAAAGTAGAATAAAAAAATGCCAAACAATCATAGAATATAAAAAATGACTATGTAATGGCTGGCCGTAGTGATGTTACTATAACCCTAGCTGCTGGGGTAACTGAGTTCAGACAATAAAGAGTTCAAGAACAGCCAGAGCCACATAGCAAGACCATGTCTAAAAAAACCAGACCGCATCAATTTAACCAAATAGAGCTTTTTTTTTTTTCTGCCAGTCCTGGGTCTTGAACTCAAAGCCTGGACACTGTCCCTGAGCTTCTTTTGCGCCAGGCTAGTGCTCTATAGCTTGAGCCACAGCACCATTTCCGGCCTTTTCTGTTTATGTGGTACTGAGGAATCGAATCCAGGGGTTCATGCATGCTAGACAAGCACTCTACCACTAAGCCATATTTCCAGCCCCCCAAATAGAGCTTTTGAAAATTAAAAAAAAAATAGTGGATGGATTAAGTGATGTATTCCTCTGAAGAGAGAAATAGCACAGATGCCAAAAACAAAAACCAAAACCTCAGAATGCAACAGTACTGGGAGGGAAGAAGGTTGAGGATGAGTAAAATCTAAGTCGTATCAGATCCCCAGAATGAGAGAATGAAGAGAATGGAGCAAGGCCATATTAACTGAAGAGTATCCCTAAGACATTTTCAAAATTGAGGGATGACACAAATCTACAGATAAAACATCTAGTTAGTGTAGGTGTGTGTATATAAGACACAATAAATCTTGCAACCAGGCATGGTGGCTCATGCCTGTAATCCTAGCTACTCAAGAGGCTGAGATCTGAGGATCACGGTTCAAAGCCAGTCAGGGCAGGAAAGGCCATGAGACTCTTATCTCCAATAAACCACCAGAAAGCCAGAAGCAGTGCTATGGCTCAAGTGGTAGAGTGCTAGCCTTGAGCGGAAGAGCTGAGGGACAGTGCCCAGGCCGAGTTCAAGCCCCATGACCAACAATCAAAATAATAATAATAGTAATAGAAATAATAATAAATCTTGCAGACCTTTGGAGGATATCAGCTCCTTTCACATTTGGTGGTGTAAGGCTTTTCTCCATCTCCATCTCCAATCCACAGAATGTTCTTCCATATTTCTTGAATGGTCCCCAACCTTCTAGATCTCTGCAGATGCCCCACACTGGGGGGAAGGCAGTCTTCACCTAGGTTCACTGAGGAGTGAGAAGGGTGTGCTGCAGGCCAGATCCTCCAGTGCTAAGAGCTGCCCCTGTGTGTGTGTGTGTGGCAGAGCGAGCTCAGCGACGGCATCGCGATGCTGGTGGCGGGCAATGACCGAGTGCAAGCAGTGATCACGCAGATGGAGGAGGTGTGCCAGACCATCGAGGTGAGCCTGGGCCGGGAGAGAGAGGGAAACAGGTTTACTGACCTGGAGACTAGAATTGGTGGGGTGTGTCATGCCAGCCAGCTCTCCTACCGGGCTATTTCAGTGACTTTCTTCCAGTTACTTAACTTCTCCGTGATTTGGTTTTGTTTTTAATCACATTAAATAGTGATGATAAGGAAAGTGGAGGCATTTTGAAGCTCCAGGCCAGCCCAGGCAATTTAGTAAGACCCAATCACTACACACACACACACACACACACACACACACACACAGAACCAGGCTGGTGATACAGTGGCTGCTTCCTTGAGTCTTTTTGAGAATTAAATGGAAGTGAATGCAAATCAAAACCAGGCCACCGATAGAGATCGCAGGAAGCGGAAGCTACCTGTTCTGTTGTCCTTGTTGCTTCTGACAAGATGGGGGAGGAGTGGGCTCGTGTTGCGCCTTCAACTCTAACAGTGTGATCACAGTCAGCTCACTTTCCTTCTTGGCTCTCTGTGAATCCCAGTTAGTGGGGGGAGCGAGTTACACACCCATCTCCTGCAGCCCTGGGTTCTCAGCCTCACTTTCGTGCATGTTGACTTTGGGTCTTTCAGGACAACAGCCGCAGGCAGAAGCAGTTGTTAAACCAGAGGTTCGAGACCCTGTGCGCCGTGCTGGAGGAGCGCAAGGGCGAGCTGCTGCAGGCGCTGGCCCGGGAGCAGGAGGAGAAGCTGCAGCGTGTCCGCGGCCTCATCCGCCAGTATGGAGACCACCTGGAGGCCTCCTCCAAGCTGGTGGAGTCGGCCATCCAGTCCATGGAGGAGCCCCAAATGGCGCTCTACCTCCAGGTGGGCAGAGGGGCAGCGGGGCACAGTGGCTGAGCCAGGGGCCCGAGCTAGTCACCGGCTCCGCACCCCACCCTCGCCGCCAGCGGTGAGAGTCGGGGATGGGGCGCCCCGCGCTAACCCTCTCCCCCTTTTCCTTCCCTGCAGCAGGCCAAGGAACTGATCAATAAGTGAGTAGCCGGCGGGAAGGGGAGGGAAGGGAAAAGGAGGGAGGCGCGGGGAGAGGCTGGGGGCGCCGCCCCCTCGAACCTCCCTGGGCGCCCGCCGCAGGGTCGGGGCCATGTCGAAGGTGGAGCTGGCGGGGCGGCCCGAGCCGGGCTACGAGAGCATGGAGCAGTTCTCGGTGAGCGTGGAGCACGTGGCCGAAATGCTGCGGACCATTGACTTCCGGCCCGGTGAGAGCGCGAGGGTGGGGCGTGCGCCTCCAAACCCCCAGTCTGGAGACGAGGTGGGGGCAGGACCTCCGGAAAAGCTGGGGTCCCATCTTCACCCGGGTCTCCTTGGACCCAGGAGCAGCCGGGGAGGACGAGGATGAGGAGGTGGCGTTCGACGGGGACGACGGTAACGCGGGCCTCGAGGAAGAGCGGCCGAGCGCATCAGAAAGTGAGTGACCCGGAGGCTCGGGGTGGGGACGGCTGGGGGAAGGAGGCTCGCGTCCCCTTCGGGGATGGTCCTAGGGGGCCACCCCCCCACCTCCCCCCAAGTGTCCCCCAGGCCTGGAGCCGCCGAAGAGCGCCCCCTAGCGCTCGGAAGGGCGCCCGCCCGTCCCGCCCGCGTTCTCCGCTCCCTAGCGGACCGGGCGGAGTCTGCGGGAGCGCTAAACCCGTGGACAGGGAAAGGCAGGACACGGGGCTTCCTTTGGAGCACCCGCCCAGCGCGCTCCCCCCCCCCCAGGCCTGCACTGACCCGACCCCCGGTGGAGAGCCCGCCCCGGTCCCGCGCCAGCCTGGTGGAGGACCTGCGCCCGAAGCACCGGCCTCGGAGTCCCGCCTCGGGGGTGGGGCCTCAATAAAAGACCCTTGTGTCCCACACCCGAATCTCCTTCCGCTGCCCGCTCCCCTCGTGGTCTTCGGAGGCGACTTCGCCACCACCCTGCCTTTTCTTCCGCAACCGGAGACCATTTGGGGGCGGAGGTGAAATGAGTCCCCGCGCGCACCTTTTCCATGCCTGGTGCGAATCGTGAGCCCAGCACCCTGGGAGGAGGGTGGTGCCTCTGAATTCCGGGAGCGGGGCGGGGAGCGGGGTCGAGGGGGGAGGGGGTTGACCGGGCAATGGCACCCCCAACAACCTGGCTGGAAGAACTCCCCTCCCATAAGTTCCCCTCTGCGGCGGTTGCCCCGCGCCCTCACGACAGAAGCCAAAGGCTCTTCAGCACTTTTATTACAAAATAGCCACGTGGAGGCGAGTGCTCCGGGGGTCTCCGGGCGCTCCGCGCGGCGGGTTGGGGTCCGTTCCGGCCGCACACGTTCCAATCCGGGGTGGAGGAAGGGGGTTAAGGACCTGGACGGGGCGGATCACTTGCCCACAGAGTCGAATATGATGCGGTTCTGCTCGGCGCGCTCCCGCTGGCTCTGCGTCCGCGCGAGCTCCAGCAGGGTCCTCAGCAGGTGGAAGGTGAGGTCGATGGACAGGGGCGGGGGGTCGTCCCGTCGCGGCCGCTCGCTGGTGGTCTCGGATTCCCACCGCGCGGGCCCCGCCAGGCGCGGAAAGCGCTCGGCCAGCAGCAAGAGCAGCGCACGGGCTCCCCCGCCCTGGCTCCGCGTTCCTGGGCTCCATCGCAGATGCGGGTCCTGGACCCCGGCCGCCGCCTCCGCTGCCTCCGCCGGGCTCCACTGACTGCTCCCCGGGTGTAGCGGTGCCAAGAGCAGCAGCGCCACCAGCAGCGCCGCGCAACCCCTCGGTCTCATGGTGCCGCCGGCCCTGGACGCACAGGATCAGTGTGGGGGTGAGGCGCGCCGGGAGCGGCTGCAGGGGGCGCGATCCCCTTCCCCCCGCGCTCAGCGCCCCCGCTGGGACCCCTTGCCCACCAGTCCCCACCGCTGCACCGGCTCTGTCCCATCCCTCTTGCCCTCCCTTCCTCCCTCCCGGTGGATAGCGGTGGATGGACTGGGCGCAAAGTCCTGGTGCGGAGGGAGTTTGGACCAAAGCTTTCAGCCACTCACAGGGGTGTCAGGGCGTCTGCCCGGCGCACGGTGGAGCTCCGGTGGGTCCCACGGGACGGGAGGAGGACGCCTTGGGGAATTCGGGGTCTGTCCCGGGACCGCCGCCAGCCTTATATAGCGCCAGGACAGCTCCGACTGACGTCAGCGGAGAGCAAGCACTGCTTGTGGAGGCAATGACAGCCACGGCTACGGGTCCAGCGGATTCCAGCCCCGAGGGGCGCTCCCCCCTCCCCCCCCATCGCTTGTCCCTGGCCTAGTCTTGGAAGCAGCCCTGGACCAGGATAGCCAGAAGGTGGCCATACTGTAAAGGTTACTCTGGGACGCACCAAGAGCCCTCGTCCATTCAGAACAGCCAAAAGTGACTAGGGCCTGGCCCCAGGCTGGGCTAGCCCCAGGTCTCGCCCCCCTCCCCGCCCCCTCTTTCGCCCCCTCCCCCGCCCCACACCGCGGCACACTAAGAGTGCCGGACTAGGGAGCTGTCCATGGTGCTGACCCTCTCTGCCGGGGAGAAATGGGCCAAAGATTCTGGGAGAACCTTATGCTGGTCAAATCCAGTCCTTATTCCTCCACTACCACGTTGACAAACTGAGGCAATCTGGAATGTATGCAGGCACCCAGCCAGAGGACCCTGTCACCGCCAGTCTTCCAGGGTCCTTGACCTTATTACAGCCTCAGAATTAAATTCTATGGCTGTTTGCCTGGGGCACTGTATAAAAAAGAATCGGGCTCTGGTGGCTCACATTGGTAATCCTACCTATTTAGGAGACTGAGATCTGAGGATTGTGGGTTGAAGCCAGCCTGGGCAGGAAAGTCCATGAGACTCTTATTCTCTAATAAACTACTCGGAAAAAAAGCCAGAAGCTCAAGTGGTAGAGTGCTATCCTTGAGCAAAAGAAGCTCAGGGACAGCATGCAGGCCCTAAGTTCAAGCCCCATGCTTTCAGATCACAAAAGGCCAGTCTATCTGTTTCTTATTTTTCCCACAATGATAGTTTAACATAGGTCACTCATAGCAGCAGTTTTATTATGCCTTTCACCTAGTTCAGGTCATTGGGAAGGAAATAAGGAAATTTGGATTCCAGTTTCTACTCTGCCACTAGCACATGGTGAGGGCGTGTCACTTCACTTTTATGGACTTCAGCGTTCACCCTTTTATTTTCATTTTTGTTAGTCCTGGGGCTTGAACTCAGCGCCTGCACATTGTCCCTGAGCTTCTTTTGCTCACTGCTAGTGCTCTACCACTTGAGCTACAGTGCCACTTCCAGTTTTCTGTTGGTTAATTGGAGATAAGAGTCTCATGGGTGGGCTGAGAAGGTGGCTTAGTGGCTCAAGCAGTAGAGCGCTAGCCTTGAGCTGAAGAGCTGATGGACAGCGCCCAGGCTGAGTTCAGGTCCATGACTGGCAAAAAAAAAAAAAAAGTCTTATGGGCTTTCCTGCCCAGGCTGGCTTTGAACTGTGATCCTCATGCCTCAGCCTGCTGAGTAGCTAGGATTGCAGATGTGAACCACCAGTGCCTGGCTGGTGTCCACCTTTTTAAAAAAAGGGTGGGCTTGGAGGCCTACACTTCTTTTTTTGGGGGGGGGTCCGGTCATGGGGCCTGAACTCTGGGCCTGGGCGCTGTCCCTCAGCTCTTCAGCTCAAGGCTAGCGCTCTACCACTTGAGCCACAGCGCCACTTCCAGCTTTTTTCTTTTTGCATATGTGGTGCTGAGGAATGGAACCCAGGGCCTCGAGCATGCAAGGCAAGCGCTCTACCACTGAGCCACCTTCCCAGCCCCTACACTTCTTTTCAGCTATATTTTATATAATTTTCTGCTAGTCTCACTCATGACATCTGCAGTTTCCAGATTACATACTTAATAAAATATATTTACTGAGAAATCAATAAAGAATTTGTGAGGGTCCAAAGAGCACTAGGATAGAGAAAGGTAAGAGTAACTATGCAAAATGGGGATGGATGCTCTTTCTTGGAATGTGGGTATAAAGTTGAAAAGGCCACATAGTTCAACAATTATTTGTGGAATGTGTGCTATGTGGTAGGAATATGATAGCAATGTTTCAATTAATGACAGACAATATTCAGAATTATAACAGCTGAAAAATTCTTACCATCTAGTTACAGAAGCTATTGTAACATCATAGTGCAATACATTATTCATGTAATTCTAGCAGAGACAAGCCTACAAGCCAGTTGTAGAAAAGTGTGGCATATTTAATTATGTACAATAATACAACTTGATAATAAATGACAATGTTACTGGTTAATGTATTTACTGTATCATTACAGTGCATCACTACTTATGAAAAAGCTTTCTCTGAAACAAGCCATGTTACGCTGGCAGAGCCTGATATATCTTTTGTTTACTGTCTTTTTTTTGTAGTACTCAGTGCCTTGCTCTTGCTAGGTAGGCACGCTACCACTTAAGCCACACTTCCAGACCTGCATCTCATTTATATCAGGACGCCACATCAGTGGCTGACTTATACCATCTAGGCTCATGTAAGTATGCTCTCTAATATTCACACAATGAAACTAATGACAGTTCTCAGATCTGGTTCTGGTGATTTCAGAAGCAGCCTGTGCCATTTCAGAATGCTAACCCCAGTAAGGTCCACCCCAGCAAGCCTGCCCCACAGAAACGGATGTGCCCACTCTGAGAAGGTGATCTAACCATTTCAGGATCAAGGTGCATCACTGCAAGGTAAGAGTGACAGGGCAAAGTAGCTTTAGTGCTGATGCGCTTTCCAGGACAGGTAGGAGTTCCAGACAACAGCAACACACTGGACAATGGCCAACCTAAGGAACAGGGATACACTTGTGAAGAGGAAGAAGAGAGAAGTAGAGAAGGGACAAGTTAGGGAAAGTATGACCAAAAAGAAGGGCTTATTCTGGGAATTTCCAGATTTGGGTTTCCTTCAGCCCCTCTGGAGGAACTATGCAGCTCACACCAGAGGACAGCCAGCTCAGATGCAATGCTCTCTCAGAGGAAGGTCTCAGAAGCTTAAATATCCCAGCAGGTCTCCTGTCACCCACAGCTCTGTGATCTGCTCCTCGGTGTAGGCTCTTTCTAAATACATTCATCTGTCCATCCTGTACCTACAGAGATTTCACTTTCCAAAATGTGCTGCCTGCCATATTAAGTGGCACCTTCTTTATTTTAACCTTGATCTAGTTTTAGAATGCTGGGAAGAATTCAAATGTTTAGGATATGGTTTGCAAGTCCCTAGTCTTCTCTAAAGAGTTTCATATTTTGCCCATGCCCAAGACAGTTTGTCAGCAAGCATTTTAACAATTCATCTTGAGTTCACCTCTATTATTTATTATTCTTTTGGGGGGAGATTTGAACTAGGAAACTCACACTTACATGGCTTGCTTGCTTGGCTGTTGCTCTACTGAGTCATGCCTCCATCCTAGCTTTTTGCTGGTTAACTGGAGGTAGAGACTCATGGACTATTTGAACTGTGACCCTCCAGATGCCAGCCTCCTGAGTGAACTAGAATTACAGGTGTGAGCCACTGGGACTCAGCTCTATTTTTTTTTCTTTTGAAACAACTTTTATTATCAGGTCAAAATAAGGCGTCACATTGACCTTTAGTTCTAACTTTTTAAATTAGGCTTCCAGTATACCATAGCCAGGCCCTGTCCCTGCAGATAAGCCATCAACACTGGAGAGCTCAGGTGGAGTATGGACAAGAGCTGTGGAGACAGAACCCTCCCTAGGAATGTGACAGGTAAACAGGAATACTCCAGGCCAGTTTCTCTAAAGGATCAGAGGTTCTAGATAAACTGCTTGGGAATCTGAGGAGCTCTGCCTAGGGAGGTAGGAGTTGACTGGGGAGGTCTAAAGGAAGTCAAGGTTGAAAGGAAAAAAAATCTTGTCTCCAACTCTTGGTAACCCAGCTCTTCCTTGAAAGGTAAGGGGCTGGGAATGTGGCTTAGTAGTAGAATGTTTGCCTAGTATGCATGAAGCCCTAGGTTCAGTTCCTCAGTACCACATAAACAGAAAAGCCAGAAGTGGCACTGTGGTTCAAGTGTAGAGTGCTCTGAATTCAAGTCCCAAGAAAAAAGAAAAAAAACAAACAAAAAAGGTAAGGTAGGGATCTGTCATACCTGTAATGCAGGGGGACCAAGTAGAAGTTGGCTAGCTGCACAGCGGGCCAGAGCTACAAGAAAAGAAGGCAAAAGTCAGTGGCTTCCTCCCACCAGAGCTCCAGACTCACCCATGCCTGCTCCTGCCCCAGCTCCTACACACGAAAAGCTAAATGTGAGTGCTTCCCTGAGCATGGTGCCCACATGGGGAAACGAGACAGTAATCCCATCAGAGGGATTCCTGTGCCAGCTGAAGGATTGGTTCTTACATAGTAGTTGGTGATGAGGGCATCAGGATAATCCTGGGGGAAACAGAAGGAAGAATTAACACTTGCACACCCAAGCCGCTGCCCTCACCCTGCTTGAGTATCACCAAGGGATCCAGAGCACACTCCTGCTCCAACCTCCCCTCAGCTCCTTTCCTCCCTGCTCAGAGACTCTCTTCACACTTTACTTTTGCCTGTCTTCTTTCCCCGTGTCAGTCCTCTGGCCAGCAGAGATCCACTCACCCGCTGTAGTTTAGCCCAATTGTCCTGGGCTGACAGTCCATTGAGTGTCCCTACCAGTGGGAGGAAGCAGCCCAGAAAACATGGGGCAAAACCCCCCTAGGGAAGAGAAGTTAGAACCCGTTAAGTACGCCACCATTCCCAGGTGCACCTTCCCCAACTATTTTCTCCTTTGCTCACCTGATCCAATAACATCTTCTTAAGTGCATCCACCTTGGTGGTACCAGGGATGAACCGATCCAAAACCTTGTACCAACCTCCTACAACAGGGCCCTGAAAATAAACCCCAGACAGTGCTGCAGGATGCAGTGAGGGGCACTTTATTTTCCTATTGCAAAGCTCTGTTCCCAGGCATTAGAAACCAAATCCAGGATGAGGTAGACACTGGGACAAAAAGAGGGGGGCAGGCTAGCGTAGAAGTTTGAGGCCAAGGAGAGCGGGAAATGAATTCCACTGTCCAGTGCAATCAGAACTTACCACAAAGCCACAGCCCAGGGCTACCATGGTCAAGGTACGGCCTGTCTGGTGTTCCTGCAGACCCCGCCTCTCCACGAGCTGCTGTGAGATAATGTCACCTAGGCCCATCAGGGACCCTGTGCAGGGTACACAGTGGGTGTCAGAATCTCTCCTGAGAAAGGAAAGTCTGCTGATTGAGGCTCTGGCACTGAGCCCCAGGGCTTCATTCTAGCAAATGATCACCCTTCCTGCCACTTCAGAGTCCTCCACTCCTTTAGGATGCTAACACCACATGTGTGTCCAATAGAAACTGGACGGCTAGACCAGGGCCCAAGAACTCTGCATTGAATGGCTAAAAAAAAAAATACCCTAGGGCTGGGAAGGTGGCTCAGTGGTAGAGCGCTTGCCTTGCATGCATGAGGCCCTGGGTTCGATTCCTCAGCACCACATAAGCAAGAAGAAAAAAGCCGGAAGTGGCGCTGTGGCTCAAGTGGTAGAGCGCTATCCTTGAGCTGAAGAGCTGAGGGACAGCGTCCAGGCCCAGAGTTCAGGCCCCATGACTGGACCCCCCCCCAAAAAAATACCCTAGCAAACACAAAACTTCAGATAGCAGGAGAACCTAAGGTCTCAGGGCTGAGAACTATTGGCTGTCAAGACTGAATGGGGCCTTCCAGATTATTTCATCCCCACACTGATTTTTGAGATGTGAGCATGAAACTCTGGGATCTTAGATAACCAATAAATGCCAAGCCTAAGTAGTTTGTCACCTAAACACTGTCATTTCTAGTTCTAGAAGGAATGTCATATTGTGACTAGATCATATGTACAACAGTAAGAAATTCTCTTTTCTTTTTCCCTTAGCATAATGTAAGACCCTGGCCAATGTGCCTCACATTAGACTTAAGGTCTCTATTTGTACAGAAGGCAAGGATAACTCTTTGCCTAAAACATGAAAGCTCAAATGGGCCCAGGTAGAAAGATGACTTATTGAGCTAGTCAGAGTCCCCTCAAGGAAGAGTCCTAGGCACCTATCCATACAATCAACCCAAATCCAGACTCTCAGCTTGAGTTGGCAACAGGAATTAGAGTCATCCTCCCCCTACCACAGGCCTCTGCATTCCCCCAACTGCACAGATGCTCAGCTCTAAGATGCTTTAGGCAGTCGCTGTCACTATTTACAGAGACCCTAGTCAGTCATGGTGGTGTGATGATTTCTAGCAAAGACACTACTGTAGCCCACTTGGGAGTAGCATATGATCTCCAGCTCACCCATGTATCTCACTGCGTAATGAGAGCCCTCTCCAGTGCTGAAGCCACTGCTGCCCCTATGCCCTCAATTATCCCTGAGCAAACACATCCTTCAACCCTGTGCCTCAGTCTAGAGCTGGTGCTGACGTCCACACTGGCTACACACTCACTGCTCTGTTTCCCCCATACCCTCGGAAGAGCCCCACCCCTGAACAGCCTAGGCAGAAACAGCTAGGAAAAGCTGGGAGCCAGGGATGGGGATGGTCACCCCTAGATGACCTGGACTGCTGGTCATCAAGCAGCTCTGAGACACCCTGGCAGTCCTGCCTTAGTTCCCCCGAAACTCCCAAAGTGGCTCTTCCCAGAACACATGACCTCCCAAGGGCAAGCATTCCAGAACCTTTGGTTCTCTTATTTCCTATCACACCTAACCAACTCCTTGCTAGTAGCTCAGAAAATCAAAGGAAAAATGTCAACTGTATGGCTCCAAACAATAGGACTCCTCTGGGAAAAGTCATACAGATTCTAAGGCTTGGGGTTGGGGGTGTGGCTTAGGTGGTAGAGCGCCAGCTAATAAGCATGAACATCAGATACCAAGTTTGAGTCCTGGTTGAGGGGGTGGATTCTAAGCCTGGTGTGAAGAACATGTCAAACTCAGGTATTAGGACAATGGAGAACTGAGTTTATTCCCCAACCCAAACAGTTACTTCCCTGTGCCCCACCCTTGAGGCATGGCTGGGAGAGGGAAGGAGTGAACCCAGAAGCCTGAGGCACTGGGTAAGTAAAGGGATGGACAGTCTGATAGTCTACCTAGGCTGATGCTACAGTTACAGACTCCTAAAATCCCCACTAAAGCTCCCTGAAGTTGGTGGTTATGTGTCCATAAAGGAAAGAGCCCCTGAGGCTGGGAAGGTGGCTCAGTGGTAGAGCACTCGCCTTGCATGCCTGAGGCCCTGGGTTTGATTCCTCAGCACCACATAAAGCAAAATGAAAAAAGCCGGAAGTGGCACTGTGGCTCAAGTGGTAGAGTGCTCACCTTGCATGCCTGAGGCCCTGGGTTTGATTCCTCAGCACCACATAAAGCAAAATGAAAAAAGCCGGAAGTGGCACTGTGGCTCAAGTGGTAGAGTGCTCACCTTGAGCTGAAGAGCTGAGGGACAGCGCCTAAGCCCAGAGTTCAGGCCCCACGACCGGACCCAAAAAAAAAAAAAAGAAAGGAAAGAGCCCCTGAGAGATGTGGTAATAAGTTGTGAAGCTGGGATCAACTCAGACCAAAAGAAGCAAGGAGGTCAAGGCATTCCCAGTCTAAGCTGAAATGAGTCCAGAGACCAGTGGGCATCTCCAGTCTCCTGTCCAAGCAGGGTTCCAAAGGGCCCATGTATCAAAGATGTTTCCTGAACTGATAGACTTCCCCCCCCCCCACACACACACCCTTCTCTCTTGTCGGTCATGGGGCTTGAACTCTGGGCCTGGGCGCTGTCCCTCAGCTCTTCAGCTCAAGGCGAGCATTCTACCACTTGAGCCACAGTGCCACTTCCGGTTTTCTGGTGGTTAATTGGAGATAAGAGTCTCACGGACTTTCCTGCCCAGGCTAGCTTTGAACCGTGATCTCAGCCTGAGTAGCTAGGATTACAGGCATGAGCCACCAGTGCCCAGCTCATTTCCAGTAACCACTAAAAAGCTGAAAGTAGAGTTGTGGCTCAAGTGGTACAGTGTCTCAAGTTCCAACCTTGAGCTCTCCCCCCCCACACACACAAAAATAACCAAAAACCAAATGAGAGTCAAGCCCTAGGTTCAAGACCCAGTACTGACATACAACAAATAAAACAAACAAGAGTTAGAATGAAAACTCAAATCCCTGATCCTACAATCTTGGAGACTTTCAACCATTGAGAAAGATGGATTCTAGGCTTCCAACTATTCCCATGAAGCCAGAAGGACTTCCAAGTCATAGAGAAACAGCAAGAGCAGGGGAGGGGTGGTGGTGGTGGTGGCAGTGTAGCGCGGTCTGTACTTCTAGCCAAGTCTGGTCATTTTAGACAGGTCGGTCCCAAGTTTGTCCTTTGTCCACAGATGATCAGGGCCCCGGATCAGGGCCCCTGCGGCAAGTCCAGTACCATCTAGCACTAGGTCAAGCAAGGAGCAAGGCCTGCATTGCTGGCCCCAACCATTCTTTGAGCAAGTAGAAGTCAAATATTCTGACTCCTCATCCTTCCTTCCCCAACCCAGAGCCTAAGTATCCAAACTACCCTAGACTCTAGAAGACCTCCTGGATATATTTGGTTCTTCTGGATCTTTCAACACTCTGGCTCCCTTCTCCTTGGACTCAGGAGTTGGGACTGAAGGCCTGCAGACACGTAATACCCAGAGTTCTGATGGCACAGGGAAAGATGCTACTGGGCAGTTATGCCCAATGCCAGGCTGGGCACAGAGCCCAGTGAGCAGACACTGGCGTGGGTGTGACATCATGCCCCTGGATAGATGCCAGTTCTCATGATGTCACTCTCCACTAGGTCTGGAGGTGGGGGAAGAGAAGTCTGTTTCTGGGCACCATCCCCTACCCACCAGTGGAAAAGCCCCAACCACTTACCTGTGAGAACAAATTCTATAGTGATATGGGAAGTGTTCCCCACTGATTTGTGTGTACAGGCATGTGCACGTCATGTGTGTGTGCATGTGTGTGTGCTTGCATGCTGGTCCAAGGGCATGAACTCGGCCTCAGTTTTGTACCTGAGCTTTTTTGCTCAAGGCTATTAGCCCTTTACCACTTGAGCCACAGATCCACTTCTGGTTTTGGGGTAGTTAATTGAAGTCTCATAGACTTGCTTCAAACTGTGCTCCTCAGATCTAGCCTCCTGAGTAGCTAAGATTACAAGTGTGAGCCACAGGCACCCAGCTTCCCCATGATCTGGCCCAGGGAGAGCTGAATCCTAAGAGGGAAGGGAAAACACATTCCATGGGATGGGTCTGTCATGGTGTCCTTACTCCTGGTCTTAACTCTGTCTTGTTGCTAGAAAATAAGACAGAATGGATAGTTTCAGTGCTTAGGGTGAGCCAGTGGGATCACATCCCCAGGCCTAGTAGTCTCACGTACAGGGTAGAACAGGAGGCAGCGCCCTAGGTGCTAACAGCAGCTCTATCACTGACAGTGTGAGACTTCAGTGCACCTTACTCCCTGTTCCGGACTCCATTTCCCTTTCTGTTCTACTGGGCTACACTGGATTATCTCCAAGACCTGTTTGAGCTGTCATCCCTGGCTCGTTTAATTCAGGTTCCAGGGAAACCAGGAGTTTAGCTGCTCCCATAGTGGGGCAGGTTGCCTAAGATGGATGGATCTGGGAGTGGAAGGGCCCTGCAGAGGGGAAGGGGAAGGGTGACTCAGACTCTATAGAACACACAGCCAACCTCTCCCCACACCACTGCTCCTGACGCGGGCTTGGCCCAAACTGATAAATTATGGACACTTCAGTTGAACTATTTTAGATTTTGTTCCAGCTATGGCTGCGGTTCAATCTGACAGACCCTTGCTTAGACTCATGATACCTCACTACTGGTGCCTTCAGTGATTGTATGCAATAAGGTAGTGGAGGGGAACTGATGTTCCTTGGGGTGAAACTTTGGCCAATGTGGGATAGAAGCTGGTGAATAAAGGTGTCATCCTTTCTCTAAAAGGAACTATTTATCCTAAAAAAAGATTTCAAAGAGCTTCTTGATCCATTCCAAGAAATGAAGCCACTAGTAGCCCTGAAGAGTGGCCAATTTGTAAATGGATTCTTTCATTAGTTTTTCTTTCTTTCCTACTCCTTAACAAAGCACTTGTCTATAAACTCTAGGTTCTGCTTTTTGGAAAACCAAAGTGAAGATATTATCCATGTCCACATTTATGCTA